AACCTGGACGCCGGGTCAAATGGAACCACGATTTCTCCTCCAGGGAGCTCGCACATTACACACTTCACCTCGGAGGTCCTTACTCGGCGTTTCTCTCAGCTAGTTTTCTACTTAGTGCTGGCACAAATTGGCATCGAACCCAGTTAAGCTGAGGGTGAGAAACGCAGATAAGGGGCCTACGTGGTGCAGTGTGTAATGTACGAGCACCCGGAAAGGGAAATCGTGGTTCGATTTGGCCCAGGGTCCAGGTTTCGCGAATATCTCAGCGTCGTTGTAGTTGTAATTAACATTATACCCTACCGTGAAAATTATGGTAGCCATAAAATAAGCAGTTAAGGAAATTATGCTGATGCTCACACAACAAGTGAGGACGAGCCATCCAAGTGTTCACGTAAGTAAGTATGTAGTCGCATAAAAATTGATTCTGTGTGATTGTGTTGATACAAACAAAATATAGCGGTTGCCGAATAACTTCCTCACCAGTTTTATATTCAGAAATTATTAACGAAGTTGTAAAAGTTTCTATGAGTTATTCCAACTCGATTCTTGAAGAAGGCATTAGTTTAAAAAGTGTAAAAATATCCCCAATTTGAACCTTCTCGCGAATCCATCGAAAATAACGAGAAGGAGACAAGAATAGTGAAGATACAGTAAATTTACTTGACACAATTGCACCGAAGCGATGAGAAAGAAATACACGAAGGACCGGTTCGAGACAAGTATAAAAAGTGTTCCTTAAAAAACGACGTGTTCACAAAAGTGAATAAACACCATGTAAAGAGTTGGCACCGAGAAATGTGGAATAGAATGATTATGCTGAGAGTTTGAGGGCAATAGTGGATATGGCGCTTAGTTCAAGTGGGAAGGCCTTCCGACTTGGCCGGTGAAGAGCTGACAGTGCTGAGCGGCGGACCCGTGGAGTTCGACAGAGCCGGCATCTGCGACAGTAGCATGTGGGAGAACACGTTCGGATTCAACGACGGCATCATCCGAGCTGCAGCTGCTTTCACGTAATCTGAAAAGATTAGCGCTTTAAGTTATCCACCTAACTCAAGCAGTGGTTGTTTCTCTAAAGTCTCAACTGCTCGTGCGATTTCAAAACGACGATGAAGGGTTACCGTTACTTTAAACCTTCAATGCTGTAACGCTTTATCTCTAAACGTTCACAATCTTCAATCGTTACAGTACTTTTTTAAGCAAAAAGTGCCATTCTGTGGCGGTTCCCGTACTAGTTGATTTATGACGGACAGACAAATTAGTGAGAAACGATGGTTGCAAAAAATGCCTTGCCTTGAACGAATATGCAACCCAATTTTGCCAAGAAAACTCATCTTTGTACTACTGCTCCATTCTAAAACTGTAAAAGCTTGAAAAAAAGCTCAACCAATAAAACTGTAATGCCACAGAGCCCGATGCTTACGTCAACGGGAAATATAAATACTCATACCATTCATAAGGTATAATATCGAGGCTGGGCGCATGTTGGCGAGGTGGTCGGAGGCGCCCTGCAACGCACACGTGCGATCGATACCCGCGCCCATGGCCCAACAAGTCTTCCATCCGTCCAGAGTGGTAAATTGGGACCATACTTGTCTGGGAGGATAGCAGCATTGGCTCAATACATCGTTAGGCCACCGCGAGTCATTTTAAAGGGCAGATATGCATTCAATCACCTCCAAACGATACTTAGTGAAGTCCAATGTATGGCGCATCCCTCAGAGATTGATCAACGCCGAAAGCTTTATACTTTGTCCTTTAACATCAAGGCTAACATTGAAGCCAACTCACAAAAAGCGAGCATCTACATTTGTCAAATAGATAAAGTAAAAATATGATTTCAGCAATTTGGTTTCACTAGGTCGAAATCTAAAAGTACAGCGTGTTCATTCATGTAGATATACCTGGTCGTCGCTTTGAATCCGCTGCGGTAAAGTCTAAAGTAATTCAATAGATGATCCGAGTCGATGGTCCACGCTTGTTATTCGTCTCGACGTGGCAGCTTCGCCTTCGTGTCGAGTTAGGTCTTTCTCGGCGGGCCATCTCCTCGAATGAGGCATACTCACTCGGTGATAATTCAATAGACTAATAGACTAATAATTCAGTAGACTTTTGTATGAGCACTGACGTTCTTGTGAAATCATTTCTGCGAAATTAAATCGTGATCGAGCTATTAAATTGTGAGCATTTTTGTCGATATCCCACAAATAGGCACTGATGTTAAGTCGTCATCAACTTTTTGTCGCATTAATAGTGTTAAGGAATTTGGCGGAAATTGCTCGTCGATTAAGAGAATTTGGTTAATTTTATAATCTACAGTTTAGTTTATCATCGAGTAACTCCACGGCTCCTAGTAAAGTACACATTTGCTATTTTCTGAAGAGCGGTCTCGTAAACCGGGCTGAATAGCGAAAGGGCTGTTGCCGTGTTGCCGTCGATCAGGAAACAAAGACGCCGGGACGACCCCTTCCTCAATGGCGTTCCTTAGTCTACGTGAGAACGCCTTAGCTCAGATATCTTTAGGGTTGTAAGAAGATTCGACTAGACCAGCACTCTATGACATTCATAAAGAAGAAGAAATCCTCAAACAGCAACCGGAAGAACACGCCAAATGCTCGAAGACTTTCGTGGACGATCAGTGCGAGGAAAGCAAATTCAGTGCAAGAAGTTCTGGGACCACACACATAGATGTGGTCATCGGTCGTGTAAATATATGAAGAGGCTCAGTAAAGATAACGTCTTCATTTCATGAGTCCTTATGAATCGCGCATGTGGTTTGCTTTTGTTCTGCGGTCACTGGCCTCCGCCATTCAAAAAGAAACCGTGTGGAGTTAGGGCGATCCACTTTGAAATCCTTCACGCCAGCTAGATCCGTGGACTTGGTTTGTTTTCTTTGCTGTCAGTATGAACAAAATCTAGGACCCCAAAAGTTTAGTACAAAAGAAATTGATGGTGGTACAAATTCTTGCAAAATACGGTATCACAGGGGATGTGAATGCATCGTTTCTATGAAAAAAGTGAATTAAGAGTATAAATTGTAAGTTTATGTCGGACAGGTTTGAAATTAATGGACTTTTTCATAACGAAATTTATACATAAACGTTGTAATAATTCTCTAATTTCTTTATAAGCACACACGAGGTTGTTAAAACAAAAAGGATAAAACTCTCGGCGTTGATCAATTTCTGAGGGATGCGCCATGAATTCGACCTCATTAAGCATCGTTGGAGGTGATTGAATGCAAATTTGGCCTTTACAATGACTCGTGGTGGCCTACCGATGTTTCAAGCCAGTGTTGCCATCCCCCTAAACAATCTACAATTTGCCCACCCCAGAGAGATGGAATGCTTGGTGGGCCAGGTGCGTGGGAATCGATCCCGTGTGTGTTGCAGAGCGACTCCGTCCACTGTGCCACACGCGCCCTGTTGTTAATATACTATTCAAAGTTGACATTTTGACGGCTTACTCCAGATTCAGAGCCTGAAAACAGCTAGTTGACTGCAGTCTATTCAGTCAAACACCTCAACCACCTCATAGAAAACAATGATAACATTGGAAACAAAACAACTTCTTTTTCAACTTAGCGGTTTCTATGACTCTTCTCTAGTGAGTATTCCACGTAGAGAAAACGTACAGAGCTCACATAGATGGATAATGCTCCCTTCACCACGTTAAAATCTCAGCCTTCGACATTGAGTCAGAATACGTGTGATAATAAAGCATTTCTCCCTACAGTTAATTTCTGGATTCTTTGAATTTATCAAGAATGCTTCAAGAGCTTTGCGTGCTGGAGTTTCCCATTTCTGTGCAAGGATGGCAACTTCTGCAAAATCTTCTCCTTAATGTTTCCGTGTCCTATGGGCGCCTAGTGAAGTGTTTCATTTGACTTTAAGAGTGCCGACTGTGTGTTCTTTTATATAGACGCAGAGTGTTCCACCTGCTACGCCAATGTTTCCGCCCCAACGTGCTTTACAAGAGGTAATTTGTCCCCGAACTCTTGCAATCACCATTTCTACCGGTAAAACAAGTGGTGGAATTTTGTGTTTGGCATAGACAGTCATACAAACGATAACGAACTGGTTGGCTTCTTAGAGTATTCTAGGGCATTTCAACCACTGTTACCTACTTGTGTAAACCGGCCTTTTTTAAGCAATCTCATGACTGTTCTTATTTCGTTGGGAATAAGGGACAGGAAGAATGGGACCATGTCCTCGTCGGACACATTGTCTCGGAGTGTGATTCTTCCTCTAGACCAGTCCCTAACAGCTACCGTTTTGTAGCCACTGGAAATGGCTTGTTCGAAACATGTTTCTCAAAAGCGACACTCTTTCTCTCTTCTCACTGCTTGTGAAAAATATTTGAAAATAAAAATATACACTATGAATTCAATACTTTTCTAATGGAATGGTTTAAATGAAATGCCTGAAACCATGAGAATCTCCTATTTGGGAGCTTGTTTTGCGCCATGAGTTTAAACTTGGTCATAGAACAGCGATAATGCACTAACAACAAGGGGTTCGGCGCCAATCAATCTCTGAGGTATGAGCTCGCTGTTTGACTCAATTCCCACTATCCTGGAGCTAATTGGACACATATTTGGTATATACAGCGTCGTGAGATGGCCTTCCGACGTGTCACGTTAGGATTTTTGTACCTCTAAGAAGGACCTGGTATTGATCTTGGCCAACGATTCAACCAACGACTCTGTGTGTATTGCAGAATGCCTCTCACCACTGTGCTCCAGAGACTAGCGTGAAAATAATTTAGTGAATATCAGGGATAAAAGCAACGCTATCGTATCTAAATTTGTTACATTGAGACCAGAGTTCATCTAAGTTCTCTGCGATAAAGACGTGCTTTTATGCTCTCATGAGCATAGCATCTCTAAACGATTCGAACCCAGATACCTTCTTCATCTCGTAATTTACGGATCCTTTAATGAGATGAAGAAACGTTAAGTTTTGTTGCAAATCACAATAGAAGGCAATGACATTAGAGATACTTCAGTAGAATAATTGCCGCAGCAAGATATAACTATGATATCCTTGTTCTAGAAGGTAAACATAGTCGAACTTACATTGACTTAAAAGAGCTTGTTGAAAGATAACGGGGTTGTACATTGGCATGATCAAAGGCAGATCGGATCGGGAATCACTGAAAGGAAATATCTTTGAAGAAAGGCAGTTAGAAAAAGAGTTGAAAGAACACCTACGATTCGTATTCAGGTGATCTGTCGCTAGGATCGCGAAATCCTTTGGCAAAAGGGTTCTTTTCTATCTTTAATTTGGTTATCTGAAAAAGCCTGTGGAATTTTCATAGGTTAAAATCTTGTCCTTCGAGCTCATAATACCGTTTTAGAAACATCTTGGAAAGTCTAGATTCCGTTATTCATTTTTCACTTGTTATAACTAAGCAACAGTTGAGATATTCGCGAAACTTGGATCTTGGGCCAGATCGAACCAAGGTTACCCTTTCCGGGGCTCACGTATTACGCACTGCACCACGGAATCGTGTTTCGATCTGGCTGGGCATCAAAGTTCTGCAAATATCTCAGCATCGTTGTGGTTGCATTTTACATTATACCCTACCGTGAAGAATTATAGCAGGCGGAAAATATTAGCATTAAGTAGTTCTTCGTATTCTTGTTGAGCAAACGCGAGGTGTTATTTCTATTCTCTATTCACGAATAAGCTGACGTTTTGACGGATTTCGCTTTCCTCAGAGCCTGGAAAGGTCAAGTTGACAGCAATCTAATCGGCCAAACACCTCCATAACCAAACTATGAACACGCCTATACGACCGTCTATATGCAACGCAAAATGATTGCAAGAGCTCGGGTACAGTTCATCTGATCTCCTGTAAGACGTGCGGAGACGAATACATTGGTGAAACGGTCAGACCCCTCTATGACCTCTTAAAGAAGCACCTAGTCGGAAACATAAACCTCACTAGGCACGCATAGGACCCAGAGGCATAACGGGGAGGACATTGAAGTACGTGTCACGATCCTCGCACAGGAATCGAGAGCACAAGCGCGCAAAACTCTCGAGGCGTTCTGGAGTAATTACAGAAATCGGAAAATGAACCGAACCGCAGGGATGAATGCCGCATTATCATGCATGATATTGGTCAGTATATAAACCTGTTATTCTGATGGGAGGGGCACATTACGTTTCCATGTAAATTCTGTGCGGTTGGTCTTCACGCGACGTGCTCAGCGGAAGACTCATAGAATGCGGTGAGTGTGCAAAACTGTGTTCAATGTGATTGAAATCTTGGTTTAGCGTTTTCTTTGTTTGGTTATGGAGGTGTTTTGCCGAGGATTGCTGTCAACTTGACCTTTCCAGGCTCTGAGGAAGGCGAAATCCACTGAAACGTCAGCTTATTCGTGAATAAAGAATAAAAATAACACCTCGCCTTTGCTCAACAAAAATTCGAAGAATTACTTGATCAATGCCGAGGTTAATACAAATCGGTCGTGGGGGTTAACATTAAGTAACAGTTGCTTCGCTAGTCTGACTCTGCAGTGATCTAGTGGATTCAAGTCCGTTCGTTACGATTTATAAGCTGCAAGATACTTGAGAGGTGTGCTGTGTTATCAAACTTGATTGAGTGCTACAAGTTCTACTTTCGGAGTTGTTCCTTCTGGTTTGCTTCCTCGTATAGAAACCCTATTGATCATTGTTAGATCAGTTCTACCTTACCTACTCACTAATTTCCAATTAATTTCGTCTGTGGTGGGGAACGAACGCGTTATTGTCCTTTCCAGGGAGTAACGCGTTCACCACCACATCATGCGGGTCTTTCGTTTCGCCTGTCTCTCAGCTAGTTCTATCGATCTCTGCCATCTGCAATCACCCATCAACGGGATTGATCCGGGTTGCCCAAATCTTATATTTCGCAATATACCCTGCCATTAAAAAGAATAGGCAGTAAATAAAAAGGTTAAAACGCTTAAGATTATAATTTCGCCTGTCGTTACAAAGTTTTCATAATCTTCAGAAGTCCTAGAACGAACTGCGCGAACTCATAACAGTGTAAGTGACCAACCAATTGGTTTTGATATGCTGTCACTGCCATGAATTGCGTTTCGGTGAAGACGAAAGTTCTATGAATTTCCTCCGGCAGATTAACCTCAAGCAAGCGTAGTTTGACGTAACGTAGTACGAAAATATCGGCAAGAATCAGAGCACTTGAGAAAAACGTATAGCAGTGTTAAAAGATCAATAGTAGAATCTACAAACCTTGTGATGATCTAAATGATGACCCTTGTTCCTTCTCACTATATGAATTCTTGGCTGATATTTGTGCATTGAGTTAAGAATAAGCTGAAAAAGTAAACCATCAGGAACCGAGAGTTTAAGCAGATCTAATCAAAGTCCATAGATGAATACATCCAAGATAAAGACCCACATGGCCTGCCTTGTCAATTTCGTTGTTAGTGAGCTTCGCTTTCTCGAACGAGACAACCTGTTTCAATAACTGAAACATATATTGACATCCTAAAACTAATTTATGATAATATTAAAGGTAGTATAAGAAAACACGAAAGTCAACCACAAGAAATTCAAACCAATAGCAGAGGATTCTCTTGCTGACAGTTTAGATCCTTCATAAATGTTTTACCTTTCGTTCAAGAGAATTTAGATGTAGTGGAACGCCTTACTTGTTCTCCGGTATAGGGTGAGTCAGGGTGCAAGTACAGCCTGTTTTTCGGTGCCGGTTCTGCTTTTCCCGCAGTTAGCCATGCCGATTTGTTGTAGATGTAGCGGTACCTTTGACAAATCGTAATCAATGGTGGTTTCCTATATTTAATCGGAATCTCGTAACAAGATAATACCTCTTGTTATCAACCGGAATTACATCCAGGAATATGTAGTAGAGCCCATCAGTATCAATATTCGAGACTGAGACTTTGACTGTAGGGAACATTCGCCTGGAAAGTGTACAGCTCCCCGATGGATCAGCATTGACAAACGTTTTGGGTAACTCTCTATACTCTTGTTGAGCAAACACGAGGTGCTGCTTTATTCTTTATTAAGGTAAGGCTGACGTTTTACCGGATTTCGCCTTCTTCCCCGGATTGGAATTTCAAGTTTACTGCAATCTACCCAGCCAAGAATCTCCATAACCTCAAAGAGAGAATACTAAGCCAAAATTGCAGTCGCATTAAAAACAAAATAACTTCTTGGAGCACTCACGGCTTTGTCTTCTACTAAGTTTTTCAAGTGGAGACCAACCCCACAGAGTTCACATAGCGTACTGTGCTTCTCACATAAGAATGTGTGGTTAGCGTTTCTATTAAAAAAAGGAATTTCACGTTAGATTCCTTTTAATCTCAATGAACGTGATTGCTGATGGCACTGCTAGACAGAAAAACTAACTGAGAGGAAGGCGAAACGAAACACGCGCGTGGTGTGGTGGTGAACAACTTAGTCCTCAGAAAGGGTTATAGCTTGTTTGATTCCCACCACATACACCTACGCTCCGGAGTTTTGCAGATATCTCAGCATTATTGTGGTTGTATGTAATTCTTTTATTATTCACATGTATCAAGCAGTATTGCATTTCGTCAGATAAAAGATAATGTGTCTGTTTTCCTTTAAAAACCGCAAGCTATGATGGGAGTACACCTTTTAACGGTGCTGAGATGTTTGTTTGCTTTGCAGAACTCCGGACAGCAAGTGTCTGCGGCGGCGAACGAACGCGTTATTGTCCTTTCCGGGGAGTAACACATTCACCACCACACCACGCGGGTCCTTCGTTCCGCCTGTCTCAGCTAGTTCTATCGATCTCTGCCATCAGCAATCACCCATCAACGGGATTGACCTGGGGAGCCCAAATCTTATATTTCACAATATACCCTGCCATTAAAAACAGCAGTCAGTAAGTAAAACGGTTAAGATTATGACGGGAGTGTTAGCGCATGAGCCTGTAGTTCACAACACCCTGTAGTCTTCATAAAACACAAGAAGACCTACGACTCAAACCGCGATTTTGAGTAAGAAATGACTGCGATTGCTATCCAACTGCTGTTTTACTCCTTAACTGATTTCACCTCAACTTCTTCTTTTAAGTGATGATTCGCTTAGCAAGTGGATTCCATTCCTATTAAGCAACGAAGGTAGTAGTGGCACTCCACCCACACCCGACTTTGATTCAAACTAAGGATGCAGCTAACCAACTAAAAAATATTTAGTGCATTATTTTCTTGACGCAGCTGTCTTCCAAACTTCAGCAATCCTAAGGGTGAATGTCATTCAATCGCAATGAAGTAAGGTAGTTTTCTCCTCTTCCTAAAGCTTCGTTTTTTCTGGGTCTCATAAACAGCACAGCTCATTATTGCTTCGGTCGGCCTCTTTTGCTTTGAAAGCGACTTTACAATTATCATTCAAAGCTCACAATGTTATACCTTTTTATTTTCTGCCTACTATAATTTCGCGGCAGGGTACTAAGCGAAATACAACCACAACGTTGCTGAGATATTTGCAAAACTCTGGACCGCAGGTGTCTATGGTGGGGAACGAACGCGCTATTGTCCTTTCCGGGGAGTAACGCGTTCACCACCACACCATGCAGGTCCTTCGTTTCGCCTGTCTCTCAGCTATTTCTATCGATCTTTGCCACAGCAATAGGACTTGCGGTCCAGAGTTTTGCAAATATCTCAGCAACGTTGTGGTTGTGTCATTCAAAGCGTTACTGTAGTTCTTTTTTTTAGAAGAAGTGACCTTTTGAAGAATGCGTGCTTGATACAGAAGTCGATTTGGAATGAAAATCGCAGTTATAAACTTAGCCATTAAAATTAACCGCGGTTTCGACTAACTGTGGTGTGCAATAAGATAAATCTGTTGGCCGCTTCTGAAAAGAATGAAGATACAGAGGCAATTAGATTTTCAAACATATCCTTATTTCATTTGATTCATGAATATGACGTTGATCAATATTTTAGTTTATTGCTAAGGATACTAAACGCCAGTCTATAAAGGCTCCTCTTAAGGAATTCGGAGACTAAAAATCTGAACCTTCATTAACCGTAGATGATTACTACAGTACTGCAGTCGCACTCCACTATAAAGATATCTATCGGAAGCTTCTACTTTTATTTCTTAGCTCACTTAATAATACTGTTAAAGGAGCGTTGCTGAGCTGATGAACAGCTCCCAACAGTGGTTAGCACAAACCAACAGTAGTAGTACGAGAGGTGACCAGAAGTTCATGATTACCGAGAAGCAAGAGTACAATGACTACTAAACAGTCAGCATTCCTCAGAGTTCATAAGCAGCTGAAGTTGTGGTGTTTAAAAAGAGAAAACACTACCTATCATCTTATTCTTCAATACAGATAGCCCTTAAAACGAAATTGCAATACGGTATGCTGATGGGTCCTTTACAACCATTCGGATTAATCAGTGCAAAACTCAATGCCCTCGAATAACCTCCTCATTAGGTATGACATCGATTCGCTTGTCATAGCAACACGCCTAGTCAGCATCCAATGAACACAACATGAATTGATTGATCGCCCCGTCAAGCAAGACGACTAAAAGGAGATTTAATGTCATAATGATGATTTCAGTGGGAAACAGCCAGGGATTGTAAAGGTCTCTGGGCGGCATTTACTAATAAATCCCAACATGACAATGATTTTACACACTTCGGTCGAGGTTGTGTGCGATAGCAAACGGCTTCGTGTCTTCGTTAAACAGATTTTGCACTGCTAACAGGAGGACTGGAAGTGAGTAGGACAAAAAGTAATTTTAATAAAGTAAAGTGCAGTGCAGTATAGCTAATACATAGAAAAAGGCGGTCCAGCATTTATGACCGAACCTTTTAATACAGGTCGTTGTTGATGTGCAAATACCAGGACCCAGTACCATGATCCACTACCGTCACGGTATTAAAGTCGCATAGTGGCAAATCTCCCGCTGATCCACAAGGGCTGCGAGTGCCTGCGATGGTGAAGACCTAGGACAAACTTTGGCTAGGCTGACCTCGAAATTCCAAGGAACCACAATTGCTTAATCAGCAAATCTCTGGAAAATGAAGACTATGCTGGGGCCCGCAAAACCAGTGAGGACGGGTCATTCAAGTATAAAGTATCAAGTATGATGTGCAAATATTGTGATGATCCACTCTGGCTTACGAACCTAGAGCGGAAAAAAAAGAAATTGTATCAATTTATAGCGATTTCCTCGTTAAGAGTGCCATATCTCCAGAACTGCGCGTTTGAGGATATTATAACGTTCGTTCTTGTTAGAATAAAACTCCAAATCCGTAGATGCAACCGCGCAGTACTTTTGTGGTCGCAAATTTCCACTAACGTTGTCTGGAAGAAGCTAATTTCGGTTCTTAAGAAGATGCCAATCAGTGTTTGGTAAATTTCGACAGTGATTCAACCACACTAATGAAGATAACCAAACCTTCATGTAGAAGAAGAACGCGCACCCATAATCCGAGCACTTTCGTGTATAACACGTGCAAGAGTAGGGAACTATACAAAAGTACCCATATCCACATAACATACACATACATAAAGATTCCTCGTGAGCTGTCCAAAAATTTCACAACCAAGGTATCACCATTCCACAGCAATATTAACGTTGACGTCATAAGAGGAGTTAGGGAAAGCGATACCATCTCGCCAAATTTACTTACCGCCAACCTCCAGAACGTCATGCGAACATTGAAATGGGATAATATGGAAGTGAAAATCGATGATAGTCAGGAACACCATCTTGGCTTTCTGATGACATCGTCCTTATAACACCAAACATTAGCCAAACGGAGCGTATGCTTGCCGACTTTGACAAAGCCTGTGGAAAGATTGGTCTTCGACTAAATCCACAAAAACGATATTCATGAAGAACGGATTGGTTTCGCATAGCCTATTCACGCTCAACGGAACCAATATCTCCGAATGCTCCAGTTATGTTCATCTAGGTCGACAAAGTAATATTATGAACGACTTGGCTCCAGAGCTGAGCAGAAGGAAACGAGCGGCTTAGGGAGCTTTCAAGAACATCGAGGACGCAGTAAAGAGAACAAAGAAAACCCGACTCCGTGCCCACTTTTCGACTCAACGGTACTTCCTGCACTAACGTATGCGTCAGGAACCTGGTCGCTGCATAAGCAGAATGAAAGGTCACTCAGCGTTATCGAACGCGAAGTCGAAAGGGCGATGTTAGGAGTATCCCGTTTCACACAACTAAGGGATGGGATCAGAAGCTCCGAGCTGCTTCAACGATCAAAAATCAAAGATGGCGTTCTATACGCCAGACAGTCGAAGATAAGGTGGACCGGACACGTAATGCGTATGAATGACAACCGATGGACAAGAGCCGTTAGTGACTGGATCCCTCAAGATATCAAACGTACTGCAGGGAGACTACCGACCCGATGGTCAGTGGTCAGCGTTTTTCACGAAGAGCCTAGAAAAAAGATATGATGTTCGGCGAGTTCCTAGAGCGAGCAGAGCCCACTGGGCTACTCTTGCACGCGACAGGGAAAAATGGAAGATTTACTGGTGCCCGCTCCAGTCACCCGACGATCAACGGAACTACAGGTGATACAGGTGATTCACATAACAATACAATGACAGGCCGCACACAAATAGATAAATAATTGAATAAACTCGAAGCCTTTATGTAAACATTGTAGCAAGACCACACGACTTGTGGTGGAACATTCTCATGGAGACCCTTAATGAAAACCACCACGCTTTGCGTGTTCGTTGAGAACTGCAAACCAAGTGAGCAGCTCTGGGATGATGCAGGATTGAATAGACACTTCACTGGTGATCTTTGGAGTAATGGGAGTAGTGGTAGGACGAATGAGGAATGCGATGAACCCCTTCTAGATCATATTCTCTCCTCGGCTGTTGACAGATTTTTTTTGTGACGATGTCGTTTTGCGCTTTAAAGGTTTTAGGAACTAAAGACTCTTCATAAGCTTCAATAAATGTTGTACATTTTGTCATTTCTTAACGACTACACGATTACAGCACTGTCAACAGATGCGCATGTTTGTGTTGAGGTCACGATCTCGACATTTCTCCCTGAAGTCGTCATCTGCCCGTCACGACCATACATATTAATTCAAAGTGGTTGTAAGCGCGACATGAGTTCTTCTAGTGATTAGCATAAAGAGCCCGTTTACAATGTTATCCCGTCTCGATCACGCTCAGCATACGGTAATTGCGTTTTACTATCCGCCAACAGTTCGTCGACGATATTATGAAAGCAGCCCGACATCCATATGGTCGATCTGGAAACTTCTCACAGTAAAATCTTTGGACGAAAGAAATGTCACTGCGTTTCTGGCTCCACCTGTCTGTAATGTCGGTAATTCGCTTGAAAGCTTCGAAATTAATCCAGGAATAAATGGAAAAGAGCTTGCAAAACGTTGTTTAAAGGCAGGTTTTAATTAAATAGCTTTAGAAATGGCAGCAACCTTTGGCACTTAAAGACAGCCGATTTCACGAGAACTACCGTAGATTTGTACCATACATCCGACACTACCGTGTCTTAGAGGAACATTTGTAACTACTTTTATGTCATGTCATTGATTATCGATCCTACAACCGATTCCCAACCCGACAGCGTTTTAGTTAATTCAAACGGCATTCGTGGTTTTCCAACCATCGATAACCATTAAGAGTCGATACTGATATCTTCATGAGGCAAGCAATTCAACAAACAAGTAGGAAAAGTGATTTATAGCTAGAGTTTCTCCTTCACTGAACTAGAATCGTTCCACGGAGAAAGACTATGGATTTAGAAGTACATGCACGAATTAAACAAGAACCTTGATGTAAATGAGCAACCATATTCACATTTTGATTGCTGGTGGCAAAAAATCGATAGAACCAGCTGAGAGACAGGCGAAACGAAGGACCCGCATGGTGTGGTGGTGAACGTGTTACTCTCCGGAAAGGACAATAGCGCGTTCGTTCCCTACCGCAGACACGCAAAATACCCTGCCGTTAAAAAGAATAGGCAGTAAATAAAAAGATTAAGATTGTAACCTCACAGTCGCACTGCTCTAACAACTTTGTCAATAATGAATCTTATCCTACTTACAAACGAAAAAGCACAGGGTAGTAGCCTAGTCTGAAGAGTTCTGAATTTTATTAGGAAAGGCTTTAAACGCAGAAGATGGTGTTTTTTAAACCGGATGGAATGTAAAAGACATGATTAATAGTGGTTTGTTCAATGCTGGTTCTGACGTTTTCACTTTATGGCATATCTGAAACAACGCTCACATTCATACTATGAATGAACCAAGTAACCTCCAGTTTTACTTCAACCAATTTTCACGATTCTACAGTAACCCTTCGTTAGTCCATTGACAGTCTTTCGTATTCTGTCGACCATCACCGATCAATGGCCTCGAAGAGCAGAGGATGCCGACAAGCATTGAATTCCAATCAATGGATCGATCACAAGGACCGAATTCGAATAGCGCTCGCTTCGTGCGGTGAACGACTCGCTCTGCGAGCGCCCATGCACGGACATTATCGCTCTGGCACCTCGGCCGGGTACGGTAGCAGGTGTGCACTACGTCATAGAAAAAACGAATGTTACGGACTTGTTCAAGACCAATTACAGCGAGCAAACTGCTTTCATGCTGGGCAGTCGGAGAAGAAGTGGTCACCGAAAGAAATGTATGCGCACTCTTAGGAATCAGCTGAAGAAACGGAGCAAAATACGGAAAGTCGTACAGCACATACTCGCTTTGTTTTTCTATTAAGGTTGCCTACAAATACGTAGATTGTCATTGTAATAGGGTTTAGAATGAATTTTCTTATATCGTCTGCTTTGTTCTCTTTTCAATATTTGCACTGTTTTTAAATAGGGAAATACTTATTGATTCGTCTCCACATTACAACTTAAATCAGGTCACATGTAAGTCTGCTGAATCCAAAATGATCTAAAATGTTTTGCTCCCGGTTCGAACAGCATTCAGCATTATGGAAGGGCCGACGAGAGTTTTGTGGCGACAGATGGGTTCTGTTGTTAGCGCGAAATCACCGCAATGTACTCAAGGGACCACTAGACCCCGCACTGAATCACCCCGAGATTTCGTCATCCGTGTTATCTGTCATCTTGGGCTGAAACTGCAAATTTTTCATAAATTATCTGTGTTGTATGCTTGAACTACTACTAGCGTATATTTACAGAAATTCATTTCTGCTCTAAAATTCTTTCGAGTTTACGTCTCAGCGCGATGCTACGGTTATCCAAATGAGTAAACCACGAAGATTGTTTCGTTCCGGTTTGGTTTGAAAAGCAGCCGTCAAAAATAATAGCAACTGTTGTTTTCGGAAAAGAAAAGCATCCCCAACACCTCTGCTGGCTCAAGCTCGGAGGTTGGGATCACTTCGGTAGAGTTTTCGTTCATACAAATGCTGAATTGTATTTAGAAGAAGGACGCAAAAGTGAGCACCACATAGAAATTCGTAGAGTTACCTATTTCCACTAAATGTTCTACATATATTATTAGGAAGTTTCAGCTGCTTAGGCTGAGACTGATGCAATTACAGAAACCCTTCAGAGAAGGGCTAGCTTTCAGCCAACGAACAAATTTTTAGAACGTCCTTTAGCCAACGGATTACCTATCAATCTCACTTTGATTCATGTGATTAGAACCTGGTCCAAAGATTGCACTAGATTAGGGCTCTGTAAATACAAGTAAAATCAGCTGCTTAAACAAGAGGATTTTGAAAATGTAAATATTTACCAGTTGCTAGAAGCAGATTGCTTCGATGGTGTATTTCATAGAAAGACGAACAAGGTGAAGGTCATTACAGAAAGGAAATGAATAACTGACTTAATGATTAAATTATGCATCATTAAGGGCTAATATCTGGTGGATATACAAGCAGGAATTTTTGAGTGCATTCACACAGAAATGTTCTGAGTTAAGAAAAGCTTCACTTCTGCTTCATCCACAGCTTCTTCATTTATCTGGTTAGCGCATACTTAATAAAAGATTCACAGAATCTCAGATTGATATTTCGAAAGGGGGCCGCTGAAGAGATCAACTGGAATAAAGTCTACTCGACTTCTGTAGTTCCTGTCGTTTCAACGCACTTTCTAAACCGACGTTTTTCGTGATTTCACAGAAGAAGTTGGTTTTTCAAACTTCTCTAACTTGCTGGTGCCAACTCTTCTAAGAAATCATCGCCAAGCAATCAGTGGAGTGAACTGAATTGTTGTGCTGGAGCCGAAGGAACTCAAAATTGGAGAAAACAAATTTCGTAAATGGAAGCTACGGTAATTAACACTTTGTCGGTCCCCATTATCCTGATGAAAGCGTTGCTCGCTTCATCCTAATTGAAAACTATGGAAAGAAGCTGAGACAAGTATTTCACTAAGAAGAACGCTTAAATATCTTGTGAATACTAGTCGATATACTTCAAAACGTTTTTAATGCTAGGGCTACCCGTTTAAAGCGAAACAAAATTGTAAGGAAACATCGGTTGGAACGCACAAGAGATAAGGACGAGAAAAGTGCGGAGAATCAATATAAAATCAACCCTCTTACTTAAAAACACCAAGAAAAACCTCATAAAAAATCATGAAGAGAACCAAATATGCCTCACCGTCCACTCTTTGTGATGATCATTTCAGTGCCGAGTTCGTAGAATTTCTCCCATAACTCAGCGCCTTCTAGACGACATTCCATTCCGTCCAGTAGATCGCCCTTAATAGATTGCCGAGAGCTCTTGGTTCTGTCTGTCGCTTGGCTATTCTTACTGGAAGGCAAATCAGGAGAAGAGCAAGGAGAAAGGTCAGATTCTGGGAAGCAGGAACGGGCCTGGAGCAAGGTCTCGATGGAGAATCGAGCGCGCTTGACACCGAGGCCCATAGCATTTGAGGCGGCTCCAGAACAGCTCGGCTGCTCCAACTCCCGCTTCGCTCTTGACAGCTCCAGCTCGCGCTTCGCCATTCTGCTACTGATCGACGTGGGCGCGATTGGAGAAGCCGCTAATATGAGGCGGGGCCAACCAATTGCGACTTGAGCGCGCGCCCACTTTCGACACCGGCGAAAATGCAAAGCAGGTGAAGACGGCTTACGGTAGAAAAGAACAGATGCCATTGGCTTCAATATTTCCACTCAAAGTAGGGAATAGGGAGCAAAAGACAGTTTTGCCTTGAGTTTAGACATCAGAAAGTACGATCGATCCAACCATTGTCCAAATTGAATTATGGAATGATATAATCGGTAGGTTAGATAGTATTTTGTCCGTTAGTGATTATGACCAGGTAGATGGGATTTGCTCAGAGTTAGAGTCACGACACACAAGTGAGAAATGTCGCACCAGCCGCGATTCGTCTTCGCCATAATCCCTTGAGTAATCGTAGATAATCCGTTGCAAGACAACCGCTACACCGCCACCGTCAAAACAGTCGCCAATTCGCCGTTCATCTCTGCATCTTCTAAACACTTTCATGAGATTTCTTGGGCGAAGTGTGAGATATGGTAGTGACAAGGTGGCCGGAAGTGACATCTTACGGTGATTCAGGTGCTCCATACTAAAATAAGGCATGAATGCCCGAAACATGTCGTATACCAGCCGACTACCACTAAAACTCTCCCATCGTTATCGTTGACTATAAATAATAGGGGCTGCGAAAACGACGCCAAGGTTTTTCAGCGGACCTCCTACAAATGTCCATGCGAGTTGGGAAGCACTAAACTTGCTACACAGAGTTAAGATATCGTGCTTTCCTCATTTCACTGTTCGCTTAAAATTGTATACAAATGAGGTATCCCTTTCTGTCGTAACATTTCACTTGACATTCTGTGTGGCATTATGCAAAATGTATCGTAAGAAGCGATCTCGCTCGCTAAGTCTCCCTTCACGTGCCATTATTTTGTACAAGCTATACCCTGTTCTTTTCAATTCGGATGTCTATCTGATGGTCAAATTAGCATGCACAGAATGGATTTCGTCGCTGCTGCTGGCTGGTGATGGTGAAACGGACGCGATTGCGACGCGATAACGCATTGTGGTTAGTGGCCGACAGCATGATTGAATAGTTCCACTATTCACAGTTGATTGCTGTGAGATATGCGACGGCGACTAGTACACAAAGGGTAGACTAGTTGTCAGTGTTTCCCAGTCTTCTGATAACTTTGGATTTATAATCTGGAGTTGGAACGGAGCAAACAGGTTATGTTCGTCTCGCATTCCATGTGTTTGTGGTTTTGTGTTAATGATGGCACCCACTTGCACATGATGTGATTTACGTACAATACGAAATTATACGCTACGCTCACGACCTGTTCGCGCAAGGTACGGTAGCCGTGACTGCACCTCCTGCGCTTTTTGTCGGCAGAAGGCCGGTGGGGGGTTTACGACCATCCGCACTCAAGAACATCGCGACGAAATGGACGCGATTCTCATAATTGGATGACACCACACGAGGTCGTTCCGCTATAAAATATCATTTTATCACCTGATTGTAATTTCATGTGTCAGAACGACACCATGAACGAAATTATATACCATGCCAGCCTCTCATTTCAGAGTAATCCAAAAGCGTACGAAATTTCTGCTAGCGAATTCGGTGATCATGTCTAGTTCCAAAATTTAGAGGGAAGACTATGGGTTGAGCCTTCTTAGCCTTTTCATTCTTCGTTGTGTATTTAAGCATATTCATTATCTTGAACATTTATCAGCTGCTATCAGAGTCGTAGTAAGTTGCCTTTCACTAAATTTACTCCATCATAGAGTCAGGTAGTGATTTATGACGGAAACATGCTTCAGTCAAATAACAAAGCGTTGACTAGGCACCTAAGCTCAGTACAGAGGTCATGAGGAATAAATGCGTTGACCGTTCTGCATGATGTGTTATTTTTTAGGTCTTAAAAAGTTATCTTACTAAATAACGTGGAGCTTTCGAAATGACCCTTCCGCTGAAATTTTCAGATCGTTTGACTGGATTGCGAACGTTTATTGTCACAGAAAGCTTTTTCGTTGAAAACAACGTCCTATTCGAAGATGGAGTGGGCTGCGATCAGTTTAATTATTTTTTCTCGACAGTTAAAGAGGTGAATAGTTTCGTATTTACCTATTACTACGGACCTAATTTACGTTTTAGATCTTGTGACAGCAATAATACTACATGGTGTATTTTTAAGTGGTGGATAAGCCGTCGAACACTGACTACAGGCGACTATCTAGCAGCCCTGACACGCAGGTGGGAAGAGATGGGACCTTCTTTGATGCACCGGAGTGGCCTATGTATTTTGACCGCATACACGTAATCAAAACTTTAAAAAGGATAGGTCTGATATCTAATGCCAAAGAGCTGCCTCCAGGTACACTTGTTCTCCACGGTAGAGCACATGGGCACCAAAGGATAAGTGTGGTACTCTTCATATTTGAGCAATGCATGCTCGCGGACAAGGTTTGGCGCATGATAGAAACAAATGAAGGCATTGTATACTTAAGTTATTTAATGATTTAAGGAGTTACAAGGGATACAGGTAATCGCCCACATTCTCCTACCGACCTTCAGTGACCAGTGGTCGTCTAATGGTCTATGTTATCGCCTCGATACTCCTTATTAATAAGGAAGGACTGCGAGTATGTATCAAGGCTAATGAGTATTTTCAACATTACTAATTTACCATTAGTAATTTTTTAATGCTTGTGACTAGTATTTTTCACCCATAGGCACCTACAGTATCCGTAGTTGGTAGCGCGGAAAAATTCTTCACGCCGCTATGATCCATGTCCATTTTTCACTTTTTCTGCCTGCCGCTACGATCTTTACCCACTCCCATAAAGCGACAATTTGTAAGCTTCGGCGACTGAGATATCTATTAAAATTAATCAAGACAAATAACGCTTACCCTCATGCCTACTTCTCATCCCAGTGCAGTCTCTGTTCCGTCACGAACCTGCACCTCGTCGCCGACAGCGCCATCTCGGATGCGCTCTGACAGACAGACAAATGCTCACAGATTTCGCGGATTTGAAGGCGCTCCAATCAAACAGCTAATGGTATTACTGAGAAGATTGCGAACACTGATAGTGCGAACATCCTCCCGGAGGAAAAGTCGGGATCAAACTGTGAACGCCATCCAAGTATAAGAAGAGATGGAATTCGCCCATGTAGATGAGGTGAGGAATCTAAAAAAAACTACCGAAACACTGTTAATCTTCTCGTCTCTGTCTGGGAATTGTAGACAATACCTCGTGTCTATGCAAGCCTAGCAAGAATGGGAAGCATTTATGAATAAATAACCGATCACTGAACAGAACACTACACTAAGTGGTTCTCTAAATTGCACTGAAGAAGTTTATTTCTAAGAATCACTAAAGTCTTCGTTTAATGAATGCGGTCTATTATTTCTTTTGCCCATTTCAGTTTCTATGCAATCTAACATGAGGGGGCGGATAACATAGTGGTAGTGACGCCCGCTATCACGAACGTGGTGCTAGTTCGATTCCGCCGTGGACCGACCAAGCCTCTAAACCCTCCGGAGTTGGGGAATAGGTATCGGGTTTGTCTGGGGAAAATTCATTGTCTGCAGTCCAATTGGTAACGCTGCAGCTCGGCCATCTCAGGACTCCAGGGAGAATTGCTCGACCAGTATCCTACGACTTTCAAGATGAAATGGAAATCCTCAAGCAGCAGTCGAAGCCACACGTAAAGTTGAATACCTTAGTGGATGATGTATGCGAGGAAAGGATCGAATGTGAGAAGTGCTGGAATCCACACAGTAGATGTGAAGAGGGGTTAAATAAAACAAAATGAAATAAAATAATAAAAAGTATCGAAAACAGAATCTAGTATTATTTCTTTTACTTCTCGAATCTCTTTGTTGTTTAAAAAATGACACAATCTTTGTTTTAGAATGACAGTACAGTAGTAAATTCAAGCAGTTGTGTCCATTTGACTCTAACGACTCCCATGTCCACGAACTACTTTGATTTCGCTCTGACACAAGATTTTGCGATTTCAAACAAAGTCGTACTGAAATAGCTATGGCAAATGACTAAAGCAACCAGCTAAAAAGACTTCAAAGGGATAAGAGTTCAGGGTGGATCGTGGTTGTGAATGGCCGTTATAAAAATAGCGTTTTTTTCGAAGGTAAAGCTTTTTAAATGGCAATGTTAAATTGCATTTGTTTAATGCTGTTATACACTTTTTCCCCTTCTGTCTCTTCTTACCTCGTGAATACCATGTCACGATTTATGTCCAGCACTTCAAACTCTCTTCAAGGCCACTCATAACATCAAGCATTAAGTTTTGTACTATGGTAATCGCGAATTTAATTGAAATAAAACGGATTGCTGTAGGTTAATGTTCATAAGGGCAATCATTGTGTTACGTAATCATCATTGAATTGTACTCAAGCCAACTGATTTAATGTTAAGCTCCGTAACCTAAAACTTGTTGTTACTCAAAAAATTTTTTAAGAATGTGAAGAATGTGGCTTTAATCAGGATCTGCATTTTTCTTTCATCCCGCGTCTACGAAGGTGTCGATTCCGGCTTATGGAAGTAATTAAAGGAACGGTAAAAATGCCCAGTCAAAAAGCTTTTTGTCCTCACCCCAGTTTGTTCCAGTTCCGGCTAGTTAAAGGCTTACCAAAATCTACTGAGTAAGAATGCAACGCAGGTAACAAATATCTGAGTACGCCATTTCCCCGCCATCACAGAATCCCAAAGGACTTAGCAGCTCTACTGGTAGTGGTAACTTAGACTAGAACAACACATGAATTTCTTGCTTATGCTTATGAGAATCCGGAGTCTAGACTTCACTAAATTGTTATGATCAGCTTTTTAGTAACCTCAGCATTGACAAAATAATACTCTATAATCTTATTGAGCAAACACAAGGAGTTACTTTATTCTTTATTGACGGCAAAGTCAACGTCTCGGTGGATTGCGATTTTTCAGAGCCTGGAAAGGTCAAGTTGACTTCAATCTACCTAGCCAACGCTCAAAAACATATTTTGTTTTCAATGCTATTGACATCTCAGTTCGGTATTTTCTGTGTTTGATTATGGAGGTGTTTGGCTGGGTAGATTGCAGTCAACTCGACCTTTCCAGACTCTGATGAAGGGGCAATCGACCGAAATATTAGCGTCACTAAATTACGCAAATTTTTCAGGCTTTTGAGATTGCTCAGCGCAGGTCACTATCTGAAATTTTAAATTTAAACAAAATTTAAACACCAGTTAGTGGAGCACTCTGTCTCCATTTCCTCCGCCGCAGTTATCTTAAAATAAGGTTTTAATGCTCATTAAACATTGATGGCTTCGAGGTGTCTTCTGAACTTACACTCACATAATATTTACTGCGGTAGAGAAATTTTTTTGGATTAATACTGGAAAGAAAAAAAGTTCCATCGAGCGCTTGTATGTTCGTAGTTCACAAAGCAAAAGATTTATGTGCATAAGAGGATGAACAAGAATTTCCTTACTAACGAT